CTACTGCCACAACTTCCCACCATTTCTATTCAGTTTAAGACGACATGACGTCAAAACGACGTCGTGTTCGTTACTTTTCTTACTAGAAGATCAAAGTATGGATCATCATAAAATGATGGAAAGTCATTACGAGTTATAGAATTATGTGCTTAATCTGACGCAAGGTGTTTAACACCTGAGGGTGGAGACCATTCACTTGAATCGGCCGCCAGCATCAGCAGATTATGATATTGTCGCTAGGTGTCGTTTCTAAGTCTTTAATTTGCACTTTATCGTTTAATTGGTACTTTATGATTTTATTCATCTTTGAATTGATATTCTATGCGTTATTACAGACCATTTGCAACAATTCCCCATTCGTGATTTTTCTTTGGGGTCGATTTAGGAAATTTCTGGGATTTCGAATCTGTATTTGAATTAGCTGCTATGCTCGGTTTAGTCCCGAATCGGCGGCTGAAAGGGCGGCTACGAATCGGCGGCCCAATCGGCGGCCTACTTCAGGTTGGTCATTTTCGNCGACGTCGTGTTCGTTACTTGTCTTACTAGAAGATCAAAGTATGGATCATTTTAAATGGATTGAATGTCATTGTATTCTTAGAATTATATGGTTACTCTGCTGCAAGGTGTTAAACACCTACAAGTAGAGACGAGTTACGGTACAACTTCTCGCCATTTTCGTTTATTTAAGACAACATGACGTCAAAACGACGTCGTGTGCGTTACTTTTCTTATTAGAATATCAAAGTATGGATCCTTCTAAAGGAATTCAATGTCATTGCAAGTTGTAAAATTATATAGTTACTCTGCTACAAGGTGTTAAACACCTGAGAACGGAGACCAGCTACTGCCACAACTTCCCACCATTTCTATTCAGTTTAAGACGACATGACGTCAAAACGACGTCGTGTTCGTTACTTGTCTTACTAGAAGATCAAAGTATGGATCATTATAAAGGGATTGAATGTCATTGTAAGTTGTAAAATTATATTGTTACCCTGCTGCAAGATGTTAAACACCTATAAGTGGAGACGAGTTACGGTACAACTTTCCGCCATTTTCGTTGCTGTAACACGACATGACGTCAAAACGACGTCGTGTGCGTTACTATTCTTACTAGAATATCAAAGTATGGATCATTATAAAGGGATTGAAAGTCATTGCAAGTTGTAAAATTATATAGTTACTCTGCTACAAGGTGTTAAACACCTAAAGGTGGAGACCAGTTACGGTACAACTGCCCGTCATGTTCTTCAGTTTAAGACGACATGACGTCAAAATGACGTAGCGTGCGTTACTTTTCTCACTAGAACACCAAAGTATGGATCATCATAAAATGATGGAAAGTCATTACGAGTTATAGAATTATGTGCTTAATCTGACGCAAGGTGTTTAACACCTGAGGGTGGAGACCATTCACTTGAATCGGCCGCCAGCATCAGCAGATTATGATATTGTCGCTAGGTGTCGTTTCTAAGTCTTTAATTTGCACTTTATCGTTTAATTGGTACTTTATGATTTTATTCATCTTTGAATTGATATTCTATGCGTTATTACAGACCATTTGCAACAATTCCCCATTCGTGATTTTTCTTTGGGGTCGATTTAGGAAATTTCTGGGATTTTGAATCTGTATTTGAATTAGCTGCTATGCTCGGTTTAGTCCCGAATCGGCGGCTGAAAGGGCGGCTACGAATCGGCGGCCCAATCGGCGGCCTACTTCAGGTTGGTATCTGTACGATCCTGTACGTGTTGGTACGTGTTTGTACAGTGACGATGGTTCAACTTACAAACTGACGTAGACCAAACGTTGCCTTGTGATGCTTTATAAGTTGCGTTTTTGGACAGGACTGCAAAGATTTGCGCTGCAGCATCTGTCAAGAGAGCGCAGTGTCTTCAGGCTATTTCCGAGTGTGAGAGCGCAGACAACTTCGGCAAGTGGTAAGGGACTGCAGTTACAAGTCTGTACGATATATTATAATAGCGGAGGAGGAGGGGGGCGGGGGTGGTGCGTATGTGGGTTTTGTTGTGAACTGAGGTTAATTCAGAACCATACTCAGGTGCGGTGGTTTGCACGAAATTCTATTTTACACAAGGGGTAAGGTCACGCCTTTTTTTTGGGGGGGGGGGCAGATTATATATTATATTAATTATATCTAGATAGTAAAATAGCTATCGTTCAGAGCCTACGGCAATACTTTAGACGGATTTTTCAATTTATTACAGTGAGATGTTGGTGGATTTGTGGTATCACGCCTGACAAACGAACTGAGTTCATACTATTACTACTGGTATATCATCTATTTGATGATCGTTCATTAGCAAATGATGGTGATTTTCATGCAAGGGTCAGAATTGTGTTTTCAGCGGTGAATAGTAGTAAAATACATGTTTGTGATAAATTTCATTTTAGAAAGTATAAAATTACACGTAACATCACAAACAACAATACCCATTTACCCATAACTTCGTCACAAAAATCGTAAATCGTGGTTCACAGCAAATGAAACTCGGAGTCGAAGCATATGTAAATAGCTGATGGACTTGAAAGCATCTATTTACAGAAGAGAAGTCAAACCCTTCAGACATGCATAGTTTTAGACATAGTTATAGTTCTAGACAGCTAACTTTATCATGTAGACTTTAGTTATTTTATACTCTATTCCATTGTTCTTTTATGTTTTGTAATTTGCAATTACCCTCCGGGCAAGAATTTGCAATAAACTTTTCATTGAACAACCAAATCGTCTTGTGTTATAACACTCGTTTACCTTACAGCTATGAGTCTAGAGCGGCGCATCCTTCAGTATGTTCAGCAGCAGGCGTTACGTGGAGACCCCGACAGTGTCATGGCGGCCATCGACAAGTTCGGCTGGGAGAGAGAATTCGCCATGAATGTAGGGGATGTCAAAGGTCAAGTATCATAGTTTGATATCATGTGATGTACATGTGACTGTTAGTGACATAAGTTCAGCTAGGTCGAGCAAACAAAGGCAGTCTTTTCCTTTGAAAAAAAATCTATTAAGCTACACTGTACTAGGCCTAGGGAACAATCACAATGATCTTGACATAGATCCAGCAACTTCGTCTTGGCACATGAATTCTTATGAATTTTGTATTCCTTAATGTCAGGGACATGGACCTTATATACATAAACTGCGGTAAAAAGAATATATAACAACAAATACTATATACAGTACCTACTTGTATAATCTGACCTAAACAACTACCTTGAAAACAAGGTTTACGTAGTGCCTGCTAGCTTGGTATCCAGTCTATCGTGCACGTAGTTGGGGAAGGCTCTGTTCGGGGCTCTGATAGTTTTCGCCCGTCCAGCTCTACAGGCCTCCCGGTAGAAATGTTACCCCTGTAGGATCTTTGCTAATAGAGTGTTGTACGCCAGGAGTTCAATAGCTCTCGTTGAGCAAAACCTACCGGGGAAACTCACTGAAACGGGCGGGGAAGAGCTCCTGCAGCCCCGAAAAGAACCCGACCCAAACGCGATAGACTGATTATATGTACAAGTGAATGTACGAGTGAATTCCACAAGGATTGCTATATGTATTCGTATTTCCCACGGACTGTTAGAGACTGGAACGAGATTCCGTAGGCCTTGCCAGAAATACCGGAGGCCGACGAGTTTAAGGAAGCTGTTCTGCTACACCTGAGGAGTATTTAGAGCGCTAGCTGCGTACTCCCCCCTGCGTGTTTGACTCCAACTGAGGGGTGTTACGCAGCACTACATCAAGATCAAGATCTGGATAAATGGAATCTGGATATCTGGATAAATGGAATCATCAGAGCAGAGAAGTCGAGAGAAAAGCATACTAACTTGTCATGTATTCTTGTACTACTTCACAGGAGTGATCCTTGACCGGTTCGTGAAGGAGACGGCGCCGAAGACCATGCTGGAGCTGGGCACGTACATGGGTTACTCCGCCATCAGGACCGTCAGGCTGCTGCCGGAAACAGCCAGGTTCATCACCGTGGAGTTCAATCAGGAGAATGCCGCCGTGGCGAAGGAGATGATCGCATTTGCAGGGTTACAAAATAGGGTAAATACGTCTTTCCACAACATCTGGACACGTTTTTAGCTCATATTCTTTATAGCCTGCCTTTACATCATCTCTCGCTAGATGGTGCTAATGCAGTATGTAGCGGCAGGTGTTGTGCAAGCAGACCGCTAGGAGCGCGATTTAGTCAGGCTAGATTCTGAATTACATCCCCTTTTCACTAGTGACTGAGACCGCCAAGATATTGCTGAGTGACCGAAGAATTGATACGAGTAAATCGCTCAACGAATTTCGTAAATCACAAAGAATACATTTTTAAAGTGTTTTGCGTGTATTGTTGTCTTTAAGATCACACTTTACATCTTCTAGTTTGTGACGCTGTACTTATTACCAGAGCTTTTGATGTTTCACAACTAAAAATTTGCTTCTCATTTTGTCACAGATTATACAGATCATGTCCGATAGCGCTGAAGTCATTCCCCAGTTGAAGACGAAGTATGGCGTGGAAACACTTGACATGGTGTTTATAGATCACTGGAAGGACGTCTACCTCAGAGATATCAAACTGCTGGAAACAAACGAGCTACTACGCAAAGGTATTCATAACAATAGTATAAAATGTACTTTTCGTATAGAAGTGGTAAGTACCATGCAGCCTGATGTAGGTTACACCAATTTAATTGTTTGGTTCTCGGATTGTTCATCGAAAATATGAAACATACATTAGAAATATACAAGCCGAGAAAACAGGAATGTCCCAAATACTCGAAAAACTGTAACAGGTAAGAAGAAAAGGACTTTCTGCAACTGTTAGTGCCAAAATGTGAACATTTTGAAGTTGATTCAGAACCAGATTTTTTTTGCAAATCAATTAATTAAAATGTTGTGTCCTTATTAATGTGTATTAAAGAAGACAGGAGTTTGCTGCATATTTAGAAGTGACTGGTTTGCTTGCTAAACGAAACGCTATCGTCTATTCAATTTAAACTACTTCTTTTTGAAGAATATTGTTATAATTTTTATGTATACTTGTTCCCCAGGTACTGTAGTAGTAGCTGATAACATCATCAAGCCAGGCGCACCAGATTACGCCGACTACGTGCGAACCTGTGGCAAGTACGACTCTACATTCCACGAGAGCAACTACGAGTACAGCAACGACATCGACGGGCTGGAGAAGTCTGTGTACCGAGGCTAAACGATACTATTTTGTGCAATTACATTGTGCGACTAAATACGTGTGTAAAGGATTGTAAATGTTTGCAAACAGGAATCATGATGTTTTCCGTACGGATCGAGGTTCGATTGCACAAATCTGATACCCCAAGGAAGAAGAACTGAAATGTACAATAAAACACAAAGATACAATATGATGTGGTTATATAGTTCAGTGCAGTTATTCTATGTCTTTACTGTAACGTTTTGTGTATTACTAGACGTAGCATGTGAGTGAGACACGTTAGTATAATTTCAAACTCTAGATGAACCGATATCAGTCTTTATTTATTTATTTATTCAAGCTTTGCCACAAGTGGAAAGGGAAGGGAGAAACAGGTGGAGACCACCTTTACAGGCTCCCTCCCGAAATCAGTCCATACAGTCCCAGTCCATACAGTTCCATCACGGAAACGAAAACTTAAAGCAGGTCATTTACTTATCTCTGGACTCATAATTTGCAACAATATTTAACTTAATTTTAGTTGCCATGGTATCCTCATCAAAAGATATTGCGGTCATCAACCCTTATATTCTTTGAATGTCAACACCGGTTTGATGCTTTTTAACTAAACGACGCCTGCAAACTTCTCTTTCACCCCTGGGGGTGGCGTCACCAGAGGACGTTGCCCTTCGAACTTTCGGTACGCCACATGTGTGGTGACGTCAAATCAGGAAGTGAAATCTTAACGTCAGACAGCAATGGCGACTGCAGCTCTCCCGGAGGAAGTCAGTAACGACTTTCTCGAGTGTACGATCTGTTGTGACACCTACAAGAACCCGAAGATTCTTATTCCCTGTCTGCACACCTTCTGTGAGCACTGCCTACGGGAATGGGTACAGAAGAACGATGGTGACACCTTTCCATGCCCTATTTGTCGACAACCAGTCCCCTTGCCCCAAGATGGCGTCGACGGCCTGAAAAATAACTCTCATCTTGCTAGCTTGGTGAAAGCTGTGACCGAGCATCACAAGATCCGCCAAGGGAAAGATGTTCTCGTCTGCACCAGCTGCGATGAAGGGAAGCCGGCCACGTCCAGGTGTTCGGAGTGCGCTGAGTTCCTCTGCGCGAATTGTGAGTCGGTACATCGTCGCGTGAGAGCTACGAAGGCCCACACGCTCTTCACCTTTGAGGAACTGAAAACGGGAAAATACGACAAAGTCTTCAGGGCCAGGACAGCTCCACCGTGCTCCAAGCATTCGGGAGAGATCTTGAAGCTCTACTGTAGGACCTGTGAGGCTCCCATATGCAGCGAATGCGCCTTGTTTGAACACAGGGACTCACAGCACGACCTCAAGCGCATAGAAGAGGTGGCTGCCGAGAAGAAAGAAACAATCTTAGCTCTCACACCACAGTGCCAGGCCCGAATGCAGTTATTTCGTCAGACGGAAGAAGTACAGAAACGCTTGAAGGAACAACTCCAGCTGAATGCAGAGGGAGCTCGTCAGAACGTCCACAAAACCGTACAGACACTAACCGCCCTTGTCAAGGAAGAAGGCGAACGGCTCCTAACCTGTATTGATACAGAGGAAAAGACTAGAAAGAAGCAGATCGATGCAGAGATAGAGGCAGCACAGATCAGTCTGGCAAGTGCCAAGAGTACATGTGAGTTTGCAGAGACTCTGGCCAGGGAGGGAGGCGACTACGAAGTTGTATCTTTCTCACAAGACATGACAACAAGGCTGAATGACCTGACTAAACCGCCTGCGGACGCAGTGGACTTTGAACTGGCAAACATCACCGTTGATTACTCTGTTATGAGGCAGAAAGTAGCAACGAGTTGTCACCAAACTTCCGAATATTTCCTGTCAAAATCAACTGCGAAAGAGCTGACCTCCATGCTTAGAGATGTGTCGCAAAGTCAACCGACCGAGGATGTACCTCTAAACTTGGAAGCTCCGTGTATTTTAAGGAGTTTGAAAGGGATCGTTGAGGGTAAGTACCAACGTTATCACAGAGACTAAATCTGCACATTAAGTGTAAATTCCCGATTGTCGGTTTATTTGTCCTGACCCTGTTATCCATGCCATCTGTGTGTGTGTGTTTGTGTGTGTGTGCGTGTGTGTGTGTGTGTGTGTACGTGCACGGCGTGCGCGATCGTGTGTGCATGTGGGGGTGTGTGCGTGCATGAGTGTGTGTGTGTTTGAGTGTGCGTGCGTGCTCGCGTGTGTGTGTGTGTGTGTGCGTGTGAGTGTGTTTATGTGCGTGCGTGCATTCATGCATGCATGAGTGTTTCTGCCTGTGTGTGTGCGTGCGTGCGCGCGCGTGTGTGCTTGCGTGTGTTTGTGTGCGTGTGTGCATGCATGAGTGTGTGTGTGTGGGTTTGTGTGTGTGCGTATTGTGTGCGTGCGTGCATTCGTACGTGCATGAGTGTGTGTGTTTGTTTGTTTGTTTGTGTGTGTGTGCGTGCGTGCCCACGTCCGAGCGCGCGCACGCGTGTGTGTGTGTGTGTAGGGACGGAGAGGAAGAAAGAGATTTTTTCGTAGCGACTACTACACTTCAAAATAAGTGTATATTAAGAATCCACGCCATGCTGCATCCATTTTTTTAGATTCCAGCTGCCTTTTCAGGATGAATGACCCAAACATTTCTGATTTGAGACCACCTATTATCTGACTTAGAATAAAGACTTGCATGGTATTGAATTCTTAAAGTGTACCCCAATTGCAATAATTTTCAATTCCTTTGTCATCCCTGAAGATTGGGAAGATTGGTCTGAACACATGAAAGGTATCTCATGCGAAGAGCCACCAGAAGTGACAGTACAGAAATCCACTATCTCTGCGGACATGGAGAAGGAACTACGAAAGGGAGACACGTGGTAAACATCTTGTCCATGGTGTTCAGGGTGTTTAGAGACAAGTCATTCGCCCTAAGTCCAATCTAGATAGCTTTGCTTTAACCACGCTGACGCGGCTGAACATAGCTGAACACCGAAGATCGTAAATGGGATTTTACTTGCGAAATCTATACCTACTACGTTTATAAGTAACACCTTGTTAATTTTGTTAATCTTTTGCCATAGGTTCCTTGTCGCTGCCAAGTGGTGGAAACAGTGGACGAAGTACGTGGGATATGACTCTCAGGATATGTACGGAATAGGTGACCCAGCAAATCATCCAGGGACGATTGACAACTCAGCTCTGTTGAAAGGTAACGTTCCTAAGTAGTATTTACCCTTATCAGTTTCAAACTGCATTAGTTTGTTTTGAGAGAAGCTGATCTCCATGTTATGCAGGAGATCAAATGTTATCATAAGAAGAAGAACACCTAAATGCACAAATATATATATATATATATATATTGTATATAGTAGTAGGTAGTAGTAGTATAGTATATATATATATATATATATATATATATATATATATATATATATT